TTTAATACAGAAAGCATCGCCTTTAAATTACTGAGAATTATGTTTAAAACATTTTGAGCACATCTGTGCTTTCCTTGTAAATGTAATGCCAAAGCTCCTAAATAATCTTCATTAATTTTTGTGTTACCAATTTGATTTGCAATATCATTTTCAACTTCATTTTCAATAGTACAGATATTGATCTGGTTAATGGAACATTTTTTGGAATGCTTCAGGAAACCTGAAAGACTTTTAAATTTGGACAAACAATTTTCACAAAAAAGGGCTGCTTGGTTGCCATGCAGTTTTAAGTGATGAGGCATAAAACTATAAGTTGAAGTTTTACAATAACAAATAGAACAGGTATAGTTAATTACCTTTCGTGGTGTTTTGGATGTGTATGGAGATGAAGATGAAGAAGTTGATGAAGTTATTTGTTTTACCGGAGGCTGAACAACATTAACAGGACATTCTTCAGCCATATATTGTGCAACTGGTGTATATAGTTGACTTACCGAAGGCTGAACAACATTTACATGACATTCTTCAGCCATACATTGGTTTTCAAAGTTCCAATTAATTTTATTCGATGGTACTACAAAATCTACGTTATCATTTACAATAGATGAAAATTGGCATAACGGTGATGATTGAGCTGTGTCAGCCTTATTTAACACAGATAAAAAACTTGTTGAGAGTTGGAAATATCAACAAGTTGTGGAGCTTGAATAGTAAACTCTAAATTTTGTTCGTTGAGAAAAGCAGCAAAACTACTAGCATTTACTATACAGCTATTCCACTTGACTTCTTGAATCATGGGCAAATTAAAGGTTTCACGAACTAAAACATAAAAAAGTAAACATAGCTCAACATCATTGACAATTTTTTTTTTTTTTAGCATGATATTTGAATTATTGATATGATATTTGAATTCAAATTATCATACTAAAAAAGAAATGATTAATTTTTTGGTGCTATAATTTTATTTTAACATTTTTAAAAAAGTTACAATGTATTTTTAGATTTTGATTTGAAATGATACAACGACACTTAACTTTATAATAACATCTTAACATGTTATTATAAAAGCAAGTCAAGTGTGTTTGATTTGATGTTACTACTATAGTACCATTTCGAATCTAAATTTTACATAACAAATAACATTAAATTAAAATGTTAGTTAGATATGATGCATGAGCATATTCTAAGGAAAATTTTTAGTTTAAATTAAAAATCTTTAATGATACAATGAAATAAAATAATTAAATTTTAACAAATTTTCACAATATCTCATAACTATTGACAATAGTCATGAGATATTGTGAAAATTTATTAATAGTATTGTGCTCAATACAATAAAATTTATATCCATAATTTATACACACTGAAATATAAAAATAAATACAATTTAAGAAGTGATAATTTATTCGTCAATCATTTTTTTAGACTAATTTTGGAAAATCTAGTATTTCTTTTTGAGGAAATTTTCTTTGGAACAAAATAGTTTTAAAACATTTTAATTTTTCTCTGCAATGGAGTTATTTTTCATTCAGAAATAAGCTTAAAGAAATCATTTTGTCTCATGATGATACATTGTCATATTTTTATACGTTATTAATTTGATGTATTATTTTAGTTTATTCAGTTGAATATTTATAAGAACATGCACTTAAATGTGATTAACTATATATGCACTTGACTTTATATATATATTGAATTTTATGAAGTTTTAATTTACGAGCGGTTCTTGGTGACAAGACCTAATTGTCTTCTGCGAGTCTTTGCGTTCTCTTTATATTAACAAAAAAGTCTTTGTTTTATTTTTTATTTATTTCTTATTGAGTAACGTTTTTAACAATCTAATTGTAAATTTTTCCTAACGATCTAATTGTAAATTAATTAATTTTTCTTTGAATATATTGTAATAAGAACAACAACAACAACAAAAAAATGTATGTTTATTTTGCAAAACGAATAATTTTGCTCCATCACTGACACATTCTATGCATCACATTTTCGCTCTACACTAACAACTTTTATTAGCACAACATTTAATGACTCTTACTACCCTCGACTTTTGTTTATTATTCCTGTTTATATTCACTTTATTCAACTATGATTAATTTTTCGTATTTTTCTTTATAGAGGCTCTTTGGCTTCCACTGGGCATATGTCCTTTTTTCCTTTTACCTCACTCTGCTACACTCTTTTCAACTTATTATGCAACTTTAAGACGTTGCTCGGTGCAGCTTCACTAAAACGTGGTGCCGCTTCACTAAAACGCATTGCATTTACAAAAATAAATATATATTATTTTGTAGAATCATGATATTTTACATTAAAAAAAATAACAATAGTAATTTATTTACTTTACCTTTGAAATAATAAAAATAAGGGTTGTCAACTTACTTCCCGGCGCGTCTATACATATTTGCCTCAGCTAACGGCAAGAACAATATCCTTCAGATTTAAATCAGGTTCTTACTCAAAATGGATATATCATCTAATGACAATCTGAAGTTAACAGGCTCAAATGATACCACTGGAAGAAACTCACGCGCCTTAGAATACTTTCCAATGCAACCAGTGCAGGAAGTGGATTCAAAAATGAGACCATCAAGGGACAAGCAGCACATTTCACAGTAGATTTAGATTTAACTATGAAAAAATTTTTTGTCATCTTTTCAGCTCGTGCTTGGAGCTTCTTGGTTTCTTGCAAATCAATCGATCTAATGCACATTAGCGATCTAATGCACATTATTCTCTGATCAGCAAAATGTCTGTTTTTTATATGGGAACTTTGAACGGAATGGAGAACACGTTTTTTTATAGAATGCAATTGGTTGAATAACAATTGCATTCTTTAAAAAGTAGAGCACTTATGCTATATAAAAAGGAAAGAGTAATTCATTTTAATTTCTCCATCTTTGGTTTAATTGTTTTTTCATTTTTTTATGACTTGATATCAATATAGTTCTTGTGATACGTATAAATCATATCAAGGACAAGTTTCTTTGAAACTGTTGAAACATCAAAATACAGCATTTGCAGCTTATCACTAACTTACTTGGCAATGAAAGAAAATGAGGATTCCTTGTTAACATTTGTTTCAGATCCAAAACGCGACCTTTTTTTAATGCAGCATTTAATAATATTCTCTTTTGTTGGAAGCATCCTAGCAGAATCTTTGATGCAAAAATTGGGCAGTCAAACTTTCAAGTTTGACTGCCCAATTTAAGCGACTACCCAATTTAAGCAAAAAACGCGACCTTTTGTTAATGCAGCATTTAATAATATTCTCTTTTGTTGGAAGCATCCTAGCAGAATCTTTGATGCAAAAATTGGGCAGTCAAACTTTTAAATCAAAATACTTTGACAAATGCACGTTCATGAAAAACGTTATAAGTTAATATACGATATATACTTGCGTATAAGTCAAAAAGTTGTTGCCTCAAGAAATTAAAAAAATTAAAACAAAAGAATTAAAAAAAAAAAGTCACATTTAGATCTAAAAGTGATGTAATGAAAAATATAAAGTTATAAAAGGTGCAAACTTTCTACATTGCCACAATTAGCTGTTTCATGGGTCCAAGACATAAAATATATTTAATTAAAAGTTAGTAATACAATTAGTATGGTCAAGTTCGCCAATACATAAATTGGTTTGGGGTCGTCCATAAAGTACGTACGCTTTTTTTTCGTCGCCCCCCCCCGCATTTTGCAATACGCTTTTTTGAGTACCCTCCACCTCCCTAAAAGTGTCTACGCCATTAACGTATTTATCTAACATTTAATGATATTTTTTTTAAATTTAGTATTTCGTTTCTTTCATAGTTGACCCACTGCCCTCTCATTTCATATAAGCCATTTGCAGACCCCCTCTTCCCCTCCGAGTGTATGTACTTTATGGACGACCTTATGATCAAATTCACCGAAATTCACCATAAGTCTAATACTTATGGTTAATTCATTTTTATATTATCTGTGCAATTATTACGTGGGCAAGTTGTCAACCAACAAAGCATAAAAAAATTCTCCATTTACAAAAACATGTCTGTATTATATAAAGTTTGGGTAAAGTAAAACTGAAACTTTTTATATCTTGAATTAAAAAAGATTGGAATGTACTAAGAATATGACTTTTTTTTATTAAACACTTAGTATGTCTTGAAAAAAAAAATTAAAATTCTTCAGTATTTCAATATTTTCAATATTTTCTTTTTTTCTTGATATTGAGATTTTGCACTAGATTCAATTTTTACGGTGGTTTTATCCCACTTCATTTTAAAGTCAGTACTTGATTTTGCTTCCTTAAACTTCTTGAAACTTATAATTGCCCAATATTGCTCAAATGGACGAAGCCCAGGACAGTTCGCAGGATTGTATGTTCTAGGTATCAGATCGCGGATCTGATATCTAGAAATCGCGGATCCTGACCATCTAGTATAGGAAAGAAACTTTTAGTTTTTTTAATTTGGTAGATCCAGACCATCTAGTAAGTAGAGGGCGATTTTTAGGCTAATTTATTATTGAGCATTATATTTGCATCACATAATTTTATTAAAATTTTATATCACTCTTAAACAGCATCTCCGTTTTTCAAACAACGTGCCATGTTAAATATGTTTACAATATATATATATATATATATATATATATATATATATATATATATATATATATATATATATATATATATATATATATATATATATATACATATATATATATATATATATATATATATATATATACATATATATATATATATATATATATATATATATATATATATATATATATATATATATATATATATATATATATATATATATATATATATATATTCGGAAATATTAGGAGAGGCAATTGCTCCATCGCCCCCTGAATTTGCAATATATAAAATTGATACTATTGATACTATTTATTACTCCATTTTAATAAAAATGGAGTAATGAATATGACAAACAAAAACTCGTTAATTGTTTAAATAGTTTTATCAATTTTGAAACAATTTCTAAAAAAAAAAATTCATGTTCTAAAAATTTAACTTAACAATAAAAATATTATGATTTAAAAAAAAAAGAAGCAATAAAAATTATATTTTAAAAATGTTTTTTAATCCATGTCGAGTGAAAACAAAATGGCTCCTAAAGAAGCGTCTCTTGATTTATCTACTAATCTCCACGGAACCTCAAAATCTTTTGAAATAGCTTCTCGCAATCTAGAGCATTGTACAAAACAGCGACCAGTTCCTGCAATTTGAGTAATACCATACTTTTTCAAGCAATTAAGTGGAAGCATAGCTAGAAGATTTTTTGATAAACCTTCAAACAACGCTTGCGTAATACCAGATAAAGTTAAATTTGAAGGTGATATATTGGAAATGCTTGCTCGCGCACTAGGATCGTGTCTTTCACCATAAATAGTTGGAGTTATAATTAGAGAATCTTCAATAAATCGAATGTCTTCAAATGGAGATATCGATAAAAGTTTGTCCATTAGTTCTTCGTTAGATGGGATATTTGAACAACCTATTATTTGACACCATGACAAAAAAGTAGAAACAAATTGGTCAAAAACGTTACCACCTAAAGAAAAAGAACTTTGTATTACAAATATAAAATAAATGTTACGGTACATACTTAACTATGAGTGGAGGTAGGGGAGTTGGAGAAAGGGATTTCTTAATACACTTCTATAACATTCAATACATAAAAATAACCTTTCTAGAAATTAAAATAAAAATAGAAAAAATATACTGATGTGTAACAGATTATATATAGCCTGGTACTATTCCTGGCTAAATAAATGGATTTTTTAAAAAAGCTAACCGTTTAAAAAAGCAGTTGTGATTTAAAGCAGAAGAACCTACCGTTTAAAGAAGCAGCTGTAAGCAAAACGAAATTCTTATCGTAAGGAGTGATTGCTATTGTTGGACTATTCGATTTAATATCCAATACTGACGTCATAGAGTCTTGATTATAAGGAACACGTATTGAAAGCTGACAAGATGTCCCCATATTTAAAACTATATTTAGAATATAAAATTAAGAAACTTTTGATATTTAAACCTTTTATAAAGCAATTGTCTAAATCATTGGAAATAAAAAAATAATAAAAAATACTTATAAAAAAACTTTTACAAGCATAAAAATTATTGAAAAATTACATGGCACCTAGAATGTACTAAAAATTTAAAAATAAACTAAACAATTTGGAAAAAATATCAAATATCATGTAGACATTTTTTGGTAAAAAGATATTTTAAATACGCATTAAAATCAAAATATTTTGGTATTAAAAATATTTATAGTGTCATAAGCTTTAGGTTTATAAGAAAATAATTCTATTAATTATTAAAATTTGATACATTGTTAAAAAATTTTTTTTTAATAAAATTAAATATTACCTGCCTCTGATAATTGTGCTGAGCATGCGCGAATAGAACATTGATGATCTCCAAGTGCTACATAAACTACGGAAGAACAACTCATTCCATACACTGGATAGCATATATTACCCAGAATAGTTCCTGCTGGTACAACATCAGGAAGAATTGAACAATCAAATAAGTCCAGCTGTAGCCTAAAAAAGTTTGATAATTTTCCATTTCTCTCAGGAAATAAAAACTAATAAAATAAGGTAAATCAAAAATACTCATTTATCATCCAACAGTTTTTTAACAAATCAAAATAACCCCAGCTGTTAGCATTATGAACACTCATGTATGGCTTCTTTTTTAGAGTGAGTAGCCAAACCACAAAATCCATAATTGTTCCACACATATGATACGAATTAAAAATGTTTGGTGTTTCTCTTTGCAGCCACAACATAGACGCAAGACCAAAGCCAGAAGATATATTTGGACAACTTAAACTTTTTAAAAATACTTCATCACAACGTTGATCCTGCCATGTTATAAGATTTGTATTTGCAAAAACAGTGTTTTTATACAAGGATATCAAAGAGTTGTTGCTTGTATTTTGACTTTGTTTTTGCTCCCACAGCAATAAACCATGCATTTGTCCAGTAATACAAATTTTGTCAACTTCTTTTATATGTTTTAGTTGATTTAAGCAATGATCAAGCATTTGCAGAATAAGTTCTGGACTTTGCTCATGAAATAAGCGAGAAGATGTTGAGACTGTAGCATTATGAGATGCTGAAAATGATTCTATAACATCACAGTTTTTAAGAATACACACTTTTATTGAAGTTGTTCCAATGTCAATTCCCACCGAAAAAGACATGTAAATAATTAAATTACTGTTCTGAAATTACTGTCAGTATTAAATAGCATATATAATTATAAAAAATACTAAAATAAAATTCTAAAAACAACGATAAATAATAAAAAATTTTAACAAAAAAAAAAAAAAAACATGTCACAAAAAATCATTATACAATATAACTCAAGAAAAAATAGTATAAAATTATTTTTATAAATAAAATATGTTTTTCATTTCTAATAACTTCGTTAGTACTAAAAATTAACAAAAATGAACGAAAAAAGAATAATAATTAAAATTATGTTGTTTATACATGACCATGCTATGCTAAGAGGTCGAAGGATATTTCACATGACAATTTATGCAAAGAGGTAAAAGGGTTTAAAAAAAAAACAGACATCTTATGCAAAGTAAATTTATGCAAATCAGAAGAAATAAAGTTTTTTTCACATTATTAATATCAAATACTCATTAAAAAAGATATAAATAAAAAAAAATTGATATATATATTTACAAATTTAAATTAATACAGAAAATTCTCTACGAAAATACTTTTCCAATCTTTAAACTTTTAAAATCAGCACGCAATTGAATAAATTGTTGCAGAACATTCTTATCAATATCAACCTAAATACCAAAATACACATCTTATCAATAGGAACATAAATAGTAAATATAATTATCATTACCATGGTAACATTACTAACATCATTTTTATTAGCGTTGTTCACTTTTGCAAAAGTTGAGTTTTCGATTAAAAACATTTTTTTCGAAACTCTAACTGGGTTTATAACCCGGTTATAACTATATAACCGACAGAGAAATTAAAATAAAAAATTGATAGAGAAATTAAAATGAACTAACAAGTTTTCAACAAAATCACTTATGTAAACGTACGGTGTATTTTGTAAAAAACAAGAAAACTGGAAACAAGTTAAATATATATATGAAAAGTTAAATATATATGAAAAATAATGCAAGCATTTTTTTGTTATTCATTTTTATATGCATGTCTATTCATTTTTATATGCATGTTTATTCATTCTTATATGTGCATTTATTCATTCTTATATGCGCGTTTATTCATTCTTATATGCGCGTTTATTCATTCTTATATGCGCGTTTATTCATTCTTATATGCGCGTTTATATGCGAATCAACCACCCATTAAATCTCTAATATAATTTAATATACACAATAAATAGGCTTTTTAATTTTTATATAGATAATTATATTAATAATAATTATAAATAATTAAATTTAAATCTAGATAAATTAATAATTAGATTAATAATAATTTAACAAATCAAAAAATTTAATAATAAAATTAAACAAAGACCTAATACTAAAAAAAATAAACCTTCATTGAATGTAAAAAGTCTTCGTCTTAAGAATGAATAAATACGCATATAAGAATGAATAAATACGCATATAAGAATGAATAAATACGCATATAAGAATGAATACATACGCATATAAGAATGAATAAACACGCATATAAAAATGAATAAATGCGCATATAAAAATGAATAACCTTATGTTAAAAAACGCGCGAACAGACCATTATCGTAGTAACGATATAAGATGTTTAAAGCGGAGTTAAATCGCTTATAGCATTATGCGATATAGATGAAATATATAAATGAGAATGATACTAAAAATTCTTACAAAATAAAACTGAAACCCATATGAAACTTTTATGAAACCCATAAAAAAAAAAAAAAAAAAAAGCCTCTCATTTTCTAATTTGCTGACATGTAATAAATATCCAAATCCCATTTTGACAAATGAACATATCTAAAACAAAAGTCCCAATTTACTGACTGATTTGTTGAATGGAGATATGTCACTGTCTACACTCCTCTTAAACATACTCTTTATACTGGCCTCGACTAGATTTAACCATCATTATTCATTTGTATTTAAAAGGAGTAGGAGATTTTGATAATTATTTTGACAAATTTATATTAGGGCAAAACAATTCTCATTTGTAACCCCCCTCAATTTGAGGGGATTATAAATTTTATATGGTCATAATTTTTGAATGCTGAGAGATAATACTATGAAACTTTAAATTTATCAATGAATTTAAGTCTAGTTGAGAATAGTACAAAAAATATTTTATCAACCTGGTGCCTCTCACGCTTGGAGTGGGGAGCTGGTATAAAGTTAAAAGGCTTTTTTGTTCCCAGCCTCCAATCATCGCAAATTTTAACAAAGCATTATTATTTGACATAAATATAAACATACAAATGTTTGGAGTTAGCTTCATGTCTGGAAGTTAGCTATCTCAAACACCAAAAAATCCTGGATCCGTCACTAATCACAATGATAAAGTTTTTACGATGATGAAAAATATTTTAAAAACTAAATCATTTAATAATTGCAGGAGAACACCAGCAGTAACAAACCATGTGAAAAAAACAACGATAATAAGATGTATTAAAGTTAAAAAATAAAAATTATTTGTATTAGTAACATATGAATAACCATTTTATGACATACTTTGGCAAATTATTTACATTTATAAGTAACTTTTTTATGTTAATTACTTATGTTAATTACTTTTATTTGTAAAAATAAATTACTTTTACTACGCACTTCTAAAATCGACTTTATATAATTGCAATTGTAGGTCCAAAACTATTTTTAGGATTAAAATAAATTTTGTTGTAGGTCCAAAACTATTTTTAGGATTAAAATAAATTTTGAGGGTAAAGAAAAAGACAGAATCTTAAAAGTTAGTTGTATATGAGACAATTCTCTGCATGAACTCTCCAACAGTCAAACGTTGCATGTACTTTTGATTTTGTAGGTGTCTGCGCTATTAAAAGTTTTTGTAAACGTCTGCATTCACTAAATGCGCAAATAGACATTCTACTTTTCGAAACGCGTTTTTTTTTTCCAAAAAAAATTTATTTAATCAAAAAGCTTTTTTTTTCTGAAACTAATTTATCTTATTAAAGTTCTTTTTTTTTTTTGAAAATTATTTACTTTTGCAAAACTTTTTTTTCGAAAATAATTTAGCTAATCGAAATGTTTTTTTTTTTTTCAAAACTAATTTAACTTTTTGAAACTTTTTTTTTTTTTTAAAGTTCATTTAACTTAAATTTCGAGATTAATTTAGTATATACAGTAGTGACCATTGAATTAAGGCACGTAGCAGAATTGCAGTTTTAATTAAGCAAGTCCAGTTTCTCTTTCATGAAATCGTATTATATGTACTCTTAGTATTATAAAATGTTCTAAAACATATCTAGCAGCATTACTTTTAAAATTTATCAACAATAAGTCTCAAAATATTAGTACTTCATAGGGTAACCACGATTTTTCAATACAGCCTGTATACGAGAAGGCATACTTTTTAAAAACTTGTCACAGTACTCTGGGGTAATTTCATTTACCTACACCTGCTTCAATACATCTTTTAAATGTTCCTCTGACATTGGACGATGTGCTAAAGTGTCAACTTTAGCTTTCATTAAGCTCCAACAATTTTCAATAACGTTCAAATCAAGCGAATTTGAGGACCAGTTCTTCAAAAGTTGCACATTGTTGTCATTAAACAACTTCTTGACCGATTTCGCAGTATGACACAGTGCCGAGTCTTGTTGAAAGATGGTAGTTTCAGAAATGTTCTTATGTGTCTTAACCTTTGATTCTAAAACCTGTATATACTTTGCAGCATTGACATTTTCGCCCTTACCAAAGATGTGGATCCGCATCTACCCTTAGCTGAGATCCCTACACCATAACAGATGACAGATGTTTAACGATCTTCAGAGTGTATTTAGGGTTGAGTTTTTCACCTACCAGTCAACAAACATAATTGTAACCTGAACCACAAAGCTGCTGGAAAGTACTTTCATCAGTAAACATTACAGTAGTCCACCACTCAGCAGTTTTGTCCTTCATATCACGACAGAATTTCACATGTGCCTGAAGCTGCTTCTTGGTGAGAAATGGCTTCTTTGCTGGTCTACGCGCATGCAGTTTAAATTCTGTAGACAGACCTCTGCAAACACTTCTGGCACTAATATTAATGCCTCTTTCCGTGGCTAATTGGGTAACTCGGGCAGATGAAGTGTGAGGACTGGCTTGCACAATACTTTTTAGGTATCGACCATCACGGGGTGGAGTTTTGCAAACGCCATGGCAACTTTGACATCTAGAACTCCCATGCAATTTTATAACGTTTTGTATAGCTAATCTCGATATTTCTAGAAATTTACAATAACAACTTATGAGTACCCTTCACCATGCAAAGTTATGACTTGACCTTTAACAAAATCACTCAAATCTGCCTTTTTACCCATATTTACTTTATTTACTATTTACTTTAAAAAAAGAACTTAAATAAGCTTGATGACATCTTTTAAACAAAGATATGCGAAAAATTTTAATTTGATTCATTTAATGACATTGACATATAATACTTTGCATATTTAAGAAACACATTCAAAGTTATACTAAATTTATCCAAAAACTGTAAGGTGCCTTGATTTAATGGCCACTACTGTATATATATTTTTGAAATTAAAACGAGTTTTCAAAATTAAATTTAAGTTTTCGAAGTTATTTTAGTTATTCAGTAGTTTTCGAAATTTTTTACAAAATCAGAAAAAAAAAATTTATATCGATAATGTTTTAATCGAAAATTTTTGAAAATTACTAAACATATTTTATTTTTTGTTATTTCCAAAATAATTAATAATTTACTATGTGATTTGAAAAGATGAGTTTATTAAAATAAAAAATTAAAAGAACATGTACTATGTATGGTGTCAAAGTAGCTAATGGGTAAAATACAATTGTGTACAGGTATTAAGATTTTCATATGGACATGGTTTTCATGAGTTTTTTCAAAACATTTAGTGACATCTGAAAAACATTTAGCATTGAGAAAGTTAAAGCTATTTTTTAGAATCTTCAATAAAATTATAAGAAAAAAAGTAGTTCGTTTGATTTGTCGTACAAATTTTTAAAGGTTTTTCATGTTGGAAAAAGACTAAACCAGTTACTAAAGCTCTAAAATTGCAAATCTCTGCTGGGCCAAAATATATTCAAACTAGTTTTATAAATAATGACTTTTCTAGCGCTTGCCCTTAATTCCTACTTTTCACAGAATAATCTTTTCAAGAAAGAAAAAAAAAAACTTTTACAACTGAAAAAAAAAGAAGATTAGCCAAACAAAATGCAAGTTTAAAAAATGCAGATCTGGAGCAAAATAAGTTTTGCTTTAACAACACAATTATAATATATATAATATTATATAGTATATAATATAATTATTGTATATAATATAATTATTGTATATAATATATAATATAATTATTGTATATAATATAATTATTGTATATAATATATAATATAATTATTGTAAATAACCCAAACACCAGTTGCACATATTTTATATGATAATATATAATATAATTATTGTATATAACCCAAACACCAGTTGCACATATTTTATATGATAATATATAATATAATTATTGTATATAACCCAAACACCAGTTGCACATATTTTATATGATAATATATAATATAATTATTGTATATAACCCAAACACCAGTTGCACATATTTTATATGATAATATATAATATAATTATTGTATATAACCCA